ATACCCATTAAGTGGTTCTGTGTCGCCAACTCATACCCATTAAGTGGTTCTGTGTCGCCAACCCATACCCATTAAGTGGTTCTGTGCCGCCCACTCAAAATCTTCAAAACATAACATCAAAATTATACTGGTTCTTTGTATACCGGAAAAAAATACTTAATCTACTTTCTGTCCACACTGTTCTATATTACAAAGGCTGTCAGGGCTGTGGAGTAGATTTTCACTGCTTTGACAGCTGTTAATATAACGAACAAACCAAAAATCTTGATTCCACTAAACGTTTACAAATGTTTCAACTCATTTGAGGTGCTGGCGTGTTATTTAGAAAGTTTAATAGTATATAGAAACTTAATAGACATAATACATACCGGTACCAAGGTTATCAAGAACTGGTTGGCTCTTTTTTTTTTTTTACGGGAATTAGGCCACCCGGGCACAGGTCAAACGACCCACAACGGGGCCTGGAGGGTGAAAAAATAAGAACAGAAAGAAATTGAAAATAGAGAAGAAAAGGTTATACTGTGTTAATCTACAGCCGGAAAACCAGCTTTTTAAAGTGAGACAGATTGTATAAGTATGGAAACACAGAAGAAGGCAAAGCATTTCACAGTCTGGCTGTGTGAGGAAAGAAGGAGGACAATAACGGGTTATTCTCGTGTTCAAGATAGTTTCGAAAATCTTAAAGAGGGATGAAGTTAGGGCAATGGGGCGATAGTTAGAGGGATTAGAATGGGCACCCTTCTTCGGGATGGCCTGAACCAAGGCATGCTTCCAAGAAGAAGGAAAAGTTTGGCTTTTGAGGCAGAGGCGAAAGAGGCGAGCAAGCACAGGGGCCAGAGCTTCAGCACACTCCCTCAGAACACGAGGGGGTATTCCGTCCGGTCCATGCGCCTTACATCCAACCTGGATAACACACCGGCAACCCTGGGAGTGGAGATTATAGGAAAGTGCATAGGTTCAGTAGGAGGAGCAGGGGTAGGAGGGATAGAGTTGGAATCGTCTAAGGTGGAATTAGAGGAGAATAAGGTGCCAAAGAGATTGGCTTTGTCATGGGGAGAGTTGGCTATAAAGTTATCAGGTCGGAAGAGAGAAGGAAAAGAAGGAGTGCAGAAGTTGTTGTAGATGTTTTTGGTTAAGGACCAGAATGATTTACTATTGGAAGAATTAGTCAGGACAGCGGTCTTACTTTTTATAAAATTCCGTTTGGCCCTATGAAGAATAGCCTTACAATGATTCTAGAAGTAATGAAAAAAGTGTGGGTAATAGAAGGAGATAGTTTCATAGCTTGATATGTCCTATCTCTCACCCTGCATGCAAAAGAGCAGGAGCGATCAAACCATGATTGCAATGTGAAAGTTTTGGTAGAAGATGGGATAAATGCGCTCATACCACTCTGTATAACCCCAGCAATGCTGTCAGCACATACCGAGGCGTCCCGAGTGGAAAAGCAACATTCATCCCAAGGAAAGTCGGTAAAGAATTCTCGCAAAGATTGCCAGTTTGCCCTCCGATAGTGCCATAGTTGGCGTTTAGAGGGGGGTGGGGGAGGTGATCGTGTCCAGTTTGATTTAATAGAAATAAGATTATGATCAGAAGACCCTAAGGGGGCAGAAATTGAGTATGAATAGTGTGAGGGGTTAGAGGTAAAACAAAGATCAAGAATGTTAGCAAGTTGATCGTGTCGATCAGGAACGCGTGTAGGGTGTTTGATTATTTGTTCCAAATCATTAAGTAGGGAAAAAGAGTGCCTCAGCTCCACCTGGGTCATCCCTTGCAGAGCCAAGCCACTCTCTGTGATGTACATTGAAATCCCCTAGGTAGAGGTTCTCGGTGTTGGGGTGTGTGGATAGCAACGACTCGTGGCAAGAAGTGAGATCGTCAAAGAGTTCGAAATAGTTGGTAGAGTTGGGAGAACAGTATAGGAAGCAAAGAAAAATAGTCACAGTTGGGAGAGATATTTTGAGCCATATGACATCATAAAGGGAAGATTCAAGATCCGTGAATCGATCTATGGGTGTATGTGTGTTGCAGTAAGCGCATACACCTCCCTTAGAACGGAAGGAGGTATATAAAGGTTGTAGTTGGAGACTTGAAAAGGTTTGAGTGAAGCTGCTTTGGACAGTTGAAGTTCGGAAAGTAGTAAGAGGTTAGGGGAAGAGGTTAATAGATGGTGGTGCTCCACAGAAGGAAAATTGGATCTCAGGCCACAAATGTTGGAAAAATGAAGTGTGGAAAAAGTCGATCCTCGAGCAACCGCGGTGGCGTCAGTTGAGGCCCCAATAACTTGATCAGGTTGGCCCTGGGGTCCACAACCTTCCCGACCAGTGGGACCCATCCGAGAAGGCCCCGCTTCAATATTAATATCAACTGACATAGTAGAATAAAATAGAATGAATAAATCAGATCAAGAATGAGTACGGTTATATTTGTTGTGTTGTCAATAGTAAGAGAGACAATTGAGACCCTGCAATTGTGTGTAAATGAGGCAGAAAGACAGATCAGCAACCTGGGACTTGGTCACAATTTTTGTAATGCCATATGGCAGCAGGGTCTACCATTAGACAATACATTATGCCTCCAATATGTTTCCAGGCGGTAGTACCTCCCTGTTTGGTAGCTGCCTACTACCTCTGTTGAGTGCATTAATGATTTGAAAGCACATTATATTATGCATTGCATGCTAAAATGGATATATACTAGTAATATTTTAAAGTAAAGCACGTTGCACCTGTTTAAACAAAGGCAGATAAACTGTAGCGATACTGTTTATTCACTGCTCGTAACATCTATGAATTATAATGTCTGTAAAAGAGTTTTTACCGACACAATTTTATTATATTTATTATGCCCCGGAAGAAAATTTAAATCTACCGGTTGTTACGCCACGAGCAACTTCCTATACTACGCAACACACGGCTTTGATAAACTGGATATTACTGTATTCATTAAGGGAACGGGACATGGCACTGAGATACAGTATATACCGTGTACTTTTATTATTTTCTCAGACAGACACGAAAGTTCTCAACAAGAGAGTGAAATACTGTACTGGGTATGGCTCTAATCTAATACATGAAAAAAAGGTAAAAAATTGGAAGATATCTTTAATTTATCCATGAACACATTTGATATATGGGTCCATATAATAAAATCAAAATCCTACATGGGTCCATATCTAGCATTAAAACTTTAGAAAGGTAACTGGCTTTCGGATGGAAAAAATGCCATCCCTCCCCCGGAGCTTAAACAGTGAATCAATTACATTATTATTCATTTATATTGTCTGTAATTATCTAAGGTTATTGTCTAGAAAATAAAACTGTTGCTGAAACTTGTGAGCCTCTTTTGATTGTTGTCACAGGTCTTCTTGAAAAGCGAAAATGAGTTTTAGCTAACCTCAGTACGTGTGTATGCAATTTCATATTACATATCAAAATCGTAGAATTATAAGGATGAAAGTAAAATTCAGTGAACAGTAATTCTGATGTAATGGACTGATTGTCAATGCCCAAGGTTCAGCCAAGGGAGATATACTGATGTAAGATAAACCTAATCTGAATTCTTATAGAGTACATGATTCACTAGTCATCTAATCTTGCTTTGGTCTTGCTCTTATCTCTGTGCTGGGTAATCTGGTCTTCTCCCTACCACTGCCACTAGATTATTCCACTAAGTTTTGTACAAAGGTAAGTTTATCTATTTTTTTTCGCTCGTTTTCATCAATGTTGCTTTACAATCATGAGACGCGTCCTTGAAGAGGGAGTATCACACTTTAATACTGGCTTTTTAGTTTATACACATTCTTCTTTTTCGCTTTCGGTATAATAGCTATCCTGTGGAGTATATTTATCGTTATAACAGTAATACAACGAAAAGAAAGAAAAACACTTGTGTCCAATTTCAGATTCCTAGCTAAAAAAGAAAGAAAAGAAATACCCGTGAAATCGTCCGACCAAACCAGAAAACAAACAAACAGCGCCCGGGAGCCTGTTGTTTTCTGCAGAATTGATGTCACGGGTAGGTTAGGTTAGGTTAGGTTAATTTAGTTTAGTTTAGTTTTAGGTTAGGTTGTGTTTGGTTAAGTTTAGGTTTATGTTAAGGTTCCGCTAGGTTTGGTTAGGTTTGATTAGATTAAGATTACACTAGGTTTGGTTAGATTAGGTTAAGGTAAAGTTAGGTCAAGGTAAGGTTAGGTTAAGGTTTGCTATAGGTTATGTTAGGTTAGGTTAAGTTACGTAATGGTTAGATAATTAGTGTGTAAGCCTCGTTGGAGATTTAAAAATTCATTTTACATTTAATGGAGTATTTAAAATCAATATTGATTTCAAGGTGCAACCAATACACAATAATATATGCAAGGGATTCCAATTAAAGAAGAAAAAATACTTCCTAAAATCCACCTGAAAATATTATTCGACTATAGCACGTAAGCTAAAAATTATACAGAATGAAAGTTGTGCAGAAACAAAACAATCTACCAATACTGTACTATTTTTATAATATTTTCTCATTAAAAACTCACTTGGTTCCACCTTAGTGTGTTTGTTTACAAATTTGATATTACCGACTGTTCTTGTTCCTTGATACAAAACAGACCAGAAGAAAAGTATATTGAAAGTGCAGTGGGTCATTAGACGATGCTAAAATGTGAGGGTCTTCAACTGTCGGTAGATAAACAAATGTTGAAATTAAGCTACAGTATATGAACTTTTCTGTAATAACACATACCACATGACCCTACAGTAATATGCAGTATTAACTAGTAAATCTGCACTTTTAACAAGTCAAAACTGACTACATCCATGCCTTATTTTACATTTTTAGATAATAAGAACAAAGTTGGAATTATTCGTGTAAAAGAAGTAACGGCGGTCGTCAGTAAGTTAAAAATAAATAATGCAAAATGTATATGCATAAGTGTAACTTGGCAGCGGTTGTCATTAAATGTTAGTAGTGCGTGACAACATAGTACAATTACAGGCAGATATCATTCATCTTACCTTATGTCTGTCTACTGTTAAAGAGCTGCTAACTCCACTGGCCTCCGGAAACTTGCTTCAACAACCAGTATCTTACTTGATCAGATGAACACCTCACAGCTGAAAATGTTTATCTGTTCGGAGGTAACAATGTAAACTTTCTGGCACTAAAGTTTCATATCTCACCCTCCTTTCATCTGTTACACTTTCCGTAAAAACATATAATGAAGTTTATTTTCACACTGAACTGCAGTTATATCTAAGGAATACTGATGTTGTGAAGACCCTAATAGTATACTTTCTCTGTCAGTAGTACTATCCACTTAGAATACACAAACTAATTCCATCACGGGTGGGACCAAGGAAACCAGACGATATGGGATACAACCAACATTAGCGACCGCCTCTCTCACACTGAGCCTGACGGCCGGAGTGACGGTAACCACCATAGCCGCCGCCGCCGCGCCCTTGCTACTTGTGGGCTGCCTCACAATACAGCCTTTTCTCATGCCCCTAATTACTTCATCTGTTGCCATGTACTTGTATTCTTAAGAGTAGTTTCATATTCTTAGCATATAACATTGTAAATGGATAATCATTTATCTGCTGTAAGTTTTATTTACTAGGAAAATCTCTCTTCGTTTGCAAACCATTGGCATGAAAATTCCTCCCAAATATTTCCTTGAGCAACTTCAATGAAAAACCAAAGAAACTAGCATTAGCGAAGTGCAAAATATACATGTTGATCAGCGACACCAGGGTAAAAACTTAAAACTTCTCCAAGAACAGTGTAGATTTTACATATGAGGGCGTGGCTTCTCGTATATCTGCTCGTTACCCTTTTATCAACTGGGCTAACATTGTGGAGTATTGGATGAGGTCTAAAGTACAAAACATGCGTTTAGCATACGTTCATTAAACATCGTATTATAGTTTGTTTTATATATTGTACATAATTACTGAATATTTTTTATTTTCAAGTTTCAAGAACTAGGATGCTTTTCGATATGGAGCATAAGTTAGATATAATCGGTATAGGAAGACTGATTTTTTATATAAAATTAAGTCATATATGGTACTATTTTTCATTTTATTGATTTTCTCTATTCTTATCATGGTGTCAGTATATAGTGATATATGAATAATATGAGAATAAAATATTAATATCTGTTTGGTCCGCACATTTGGATAGAATGTGCGGTTGGTGTGTATCATTATTTGTCTACACATATCGCATGAAGAATGAACATATGTTAGTCTGACTTGTCAACTTGACTGCAGTTTTCCACGTATGAGGAGAGCTTTACAAGAGCGACTTGACGTTATTTGGCCAATGACCACCCTACCTACAGTATATAGAGATCACCATGCTGAGGGAAGGACAGGTATATTTAATTCTTGACCACCCTTGAATTTAATAGAAACAATATAGTAGGAAGCTCTGGTTATGAATTTGACTTGAATATGGATAATTTGATATTTTGATGTACATATACTTCTTAAGAGCGTGATCGTTATGTTTATAGGGAGGGAAAGATTCAAGGCGGGAGAGTGATTTTGATGCCATCTGTCAGGCGGAACGCGCTGCCCCTTCAGCTGATTTGCTTGATGCTGCATACAGTATGTACTCAATTCAGATTCTTAGAGCGCCACAGACCATATGTTAAAATTCAGCCAAAATGTTACTAGTGTACCTTTCAAAGATAATGGCTAACACGGCTTTGAAACTGAACTACCTTTACCATAACAAGATTTATTTTTAATCATAGCTATTAGTCTACGAAATCTTGAGAATCTTGATGCTAGGTTATCAAAGATATGTATGTCATTTTGTACCTATTCTTAGGTGAAGGTAAGAACGATAAAATGTTTACAATTGAGTTTCACTGCCATTTTGTCAAAGATTTTGGTCAACGGAATATGATTGTCAGCTTTTGTGACCGCGCTTTAAATGAATGTTTTAAAGGGTCATGAATTACACATTGTTCTTTTTTTCCTACATATATATATATATATATATATATATATATATATATATATATATATATATATATATATATATAATATATATATATATATATATATATATATATATATATATATATATATATATATATATATATATATATATATATATATATATATATATATATATATATATATATATATATATATATATATATATATATATATATATATATATGTGTGTGTGTGTAATAATAAAATAATAATAATAATAATTAACTGTTTATTGAAAAAGTTCTGCAGCCCGAAGGCTGAAAATATAAATTGGACATACTGTAAATGACTTATTACATAGACATAAATGACTTATTACATACATTGACAATGGTGGTTAAACAAAAGCCGTCATTAGAGAAAGGTAAAGGGACACACTGTGTTACATATAGTGAGCATACAGATTAATGTTTACAGTAAAGGTGAAGTAGCTCATGTGCGCTGAAGTGTTGAAATGACACGTAGTAAAGTAACTCCCTCACAGATGGTATTATGAGTGCATGTGATTTAATGACAGAAAACGTTATCAAGTGAGTATTCGTCATATACATGGGTACGTTATTTGTCAGAGCTGAAGATTTCCAAGTAATGCAATGCAATATTTACAGTAAATTTGAAATGAGATCTGAATTGTCCTTTACTTTCTTTTGGTATAAAACAATAAGGTACTAAACTTTGTAAAAGTCGTCTTTAGAATTATATATTGTTGCTATATATAGCGTATTTTAAGGCAAAAATATTTATAAAATCATCAAGATATATAATACTGCTATACAACGTTAAACTGTTTTCATCTGGTCAATGTTTTAGCTAGTAGAAAAAGATAATATAAAGAGACTTTTAAATATGGCGCGCACCCCACTACCTGTGTTGTAGGACTCAGCTGGTCGTGACGTCATGTCGGCAGTTCTGGATTTCTACAGAATCTGGTTAAGGGGGGATATAATTTTGTATCGTAAAAATTCACATGATATATGCTAAATCTAAATCTCAATCACAATTCTGAAGCATCATAAACATCAATAAATTAATATAAGATCACTATATTGGTAAGAAATCCCGAAATAAGGGAAGATAACACCTTAGAAGGAGACCAAAGCGTCGGACGACGATTGTCGTCGGTTATCACCGTCGCCATTGGTACGGAGATTCTACTATTATTTCGCCACTAAGGTAAGCCGCACTGCCTCTGTATATGTGAGGCCTTACAAACAACCTTCAGAAAGCTATATAAATATCAAAATGCATAGTATTAAGAATAGAAAATTACTATATTGGTGAAAAGTTTGTTGGTATGGGCCCCATACTGGTTTCATCGGAGGTGAAGCTGGAGGGTGAGGTCAGGTTCCATGCATACTTTTCATTTTATCTAGAAAACAAAGTAGAAGCTAGTGACTATTATTCTGACGTAAATACAATTCCGGGAGTATGTCTTGTGTAATTTTCTAAATTTTTTTCCAGTTTAGCTAGTATATAAACAGGATACATGCACTTATATAAACCAAGTGTACTGTCTTGTTTCTTATATTACCTTTAATGTGAACGTGACAGGAAGGCGTAATTGTGTTTGCACTATTATTGTAATTTTATTAATGCTAGTCATGCTGACCAGAAAATTGAGGATAGGTATACAGTACAGTAGTGGGCTCAGTGTTTGGCGAATTAACCTTAAGAGGATTATTTTAACACATGTCTGACAATGTGGTATACTGTTGTTATATGTTGGTATTTATTAAGCTGGAGAATAAATAATAAATCCTTTGACTGACACATGAACAGTTCAATGTGAGTGTTTGAGTAACTTCATGCCTACAGTATATCTGTCTTGTGGATTAATTGGTTGTGTGAATATACCAAGTACAGCCAAGTATTGGTGTACAATGGTGTTTTCTGTATTTTTATTGTATTATTTGGTATTCCTAATGTTTCTAAATGAAATTTGGAAAGAAAATTAAGAAAAGTTATACATGCAGTATGACTATTTCGGTAATTCGTGTTGCATGGAATGAACTACTGACCTTTAATAGCAGCCACTCAAATACAGTATCGTATTTTCAAAATATATTCTTAACTGTTTATATTTATAAACACCAAGAATACCAAATAATACAATAAAACAAAATACCATTGCCCACCAATATTTGGGCAGAAACTGGTGTGAACCTTTGGTTACATTTTAAGTGTTTGGAAGTACCAAATACAGTACTACGGGTCCGACTAATTACCCAAATGTAGCCGCTATGAAGTCAAATAATGGTCCTACATGAATAAATCGGGTTACCAATCACTTCTCGACTAGTATTTGGTGTCACGAAGTCACAAAAAATTGGTAAACTTAATTTAATCCGAGTTAATAGATCAAGTGCATGTACCTAACCTAATCTAACCTAACCTAACATAACACAACTCGGATTAAATTAAGTTTACCAATTTTTTGTGACTTTGACACCAAATAATAATCGAGAAGTGATTCACAGCCCGATTTACGCTTGTACGACCATCATTTGACTTCATTGCGGCTACATTTGGCTACATTTGGGTAATTACTCGCTCCCTCGGTACATGCACGCGATCTATTAACTCGGATTAAAGTAAGTTTTCCAATTTTTTGTGACATTGTGACACCAAATACTAGTCAAGAAGTGATTAGCAGTCCGATTTATTCATGTAGGACCATTATTTTACTTCATTGCGGCTACATTTGGGTACATTTGGGTAATTAGTCGGGCCGCAGTACTACTGCTACATTATACAAATCTTCACTCTTTAAATGAACCAAACAAACCTACATAACTTGACCTAACCTATAATACTAGCTATCTTGATAACCTTTTAAAATCATCTGTCTGTCATACTCATTTCAGGGTGGATTCATTGATTTATTTTATGGGATATTATTCGTCCATTGGCTGTCTGCAGGTTTCCACACAATTTCTAGAAAAAACGAAACATACGACTTCATATTGTGCAAATCAATATTAATGGAGTATCACAAATTTCTACTTATATATTTATGTTCCTGGCACGTTTACCTGAGGCTATAGTCCTCACTTATGAGTCTCTTGTCTCCTCCTTTCCTCCTTGTAGGTTAGGTAGGTTAGTTCTTTTGTTAAGAGAATAGGTTTTTTTTGTGTGTGTGTGTGTGTTTGTCTTACTAAAATCTGACCTCCAATTTTGTATGAATTAGCAGGTTTCTGTCAAAAATGAATTTTTTTGCAAAAACTGCTAATTTGCACAAGAAATGAAGGTCATATTTAAGTAAAACACCCCCCCCCCCCCTTCACAAAAAAAAGAAGCTTATTCTCATACCAAAACCTAAGGACAGCCAATGGACGAATATTTACCATTTTATGGAAAGCCTTTCTTTTTTCGGTGTTTTTGCAGTTTCGGCTAATACACAGCCGACTGTTTTAACCATCCCCAACCTTTAAACCTCCTTATTTGGAGTATTTCTAACCCCATTTCAAACAGGGGGCAAAGAATAATAACTTCGGAAATGAATTTTTAAGTTTTTCCATACTTTTGAGGGAAATAACTCTAAGAACAGGTACTTCCCCTGGAAATAAAGGCCAAATTCGATTAAATCACGCCAAAATACACAGGATAAACTAATTTCTAAACTACTAGGGCATATTGGCCAAAACTGCAATTTTACCCATTTTTTCAAGATGATGATAGAAGGTAACTGGTACTGTATTTAGATTAGGTTAGTTTGGTTTATTGTATGATAGATTATATATTGCAGCAGTACCTAGTACAGTATACCGTACTTCCAGATACGGCTAATGTAGACAAGGAATGTGTGAATTTACGCCTGTTATATTCAAGAAGCAGAGGATTAATTTTAGGTATTAAAACTTAAGGGTATATAAATGATAGAAGTAGAATTCGCTTTTTGTAATCTTTTATTGAAGTACGGTATTCCATTTTAGGCAGTGGCTAAATTACTGGTCACGGCTAAATAACATGACAGGTTGATAATTCCTACTTTAATGTTTGGCATGCACAATATACGTACAGTTCACTTATTGGAGTCTGGATTTAATGCCTATGCAGATTTGTTAGATTCACCCTCCTTTATGAAATGGGATCTGACAATCAATCCACTATTTTTTTTCTTTCCAGTTACTGTGTGGTAGATATGCAGCTGTAAGGTTGTGGTGGTGGTGCTGGAGGTGGGTTGTGGTGAAATCATGGGCTTGTGTTTGTGTGGCGCTCGGTGCCAGTGACCAAGGACATGCCGAGCATCCATGAGACTATTGAGTCTGATGAGAGCTTCTCTTCTCTCTCTGATGCCGACCAGGAAGAAGATCAAAACCATGACCAACAGCCAAGCCACAGCACTGCCACACACTCGCCAGCAGTGAGGAGGTCTAAGAGCCACCACTCGCAGGAACAGGATAAGGCAGGACACCGTAAGGGAGCACCTCGGGGCTCCCCAACGGACCCTCAGCAGGTTCGGGAGCCTCGGGCTCTGGTTGAGTATTCTGACGTAAGCTCAGAAGCATTCTCGGAACCTGAGGCGGGTGAAATCACAGATAGTCCCAGCCAAAGCCCTGTCATAAGCCCTCGTGTTAATCGACAACGGCCTCGTTCACCAACACGCTCATCAAGACTAAGCCCTCGCCCTAGTCCAGCATCCTACAGTGCAAATCTAAGTCGAAGTCCTTCTTACGTCCCACGCACACCTCCCCCAAGGCCTCCTCGAGAGCCTCTGCATAGTGACGGAGAAGTTGAAGCGTCTCCTACTACTTCCCATCACACTTCCCATAGCTCCCGCCCACTTGTACCTTATCCAGTGGTCATGTCCCCTGATCGCCGTTCCCTAGAAACCCGAGGAGATTACTATCGCTCTAGGGAACCATACCACCATTCACGCACTCCTTCAGAATCTGACAGGGACCATTCTCGATCCCGAAAAAAGGAACACAAAAAGGACAAGAAGAGAAAAGAAAAGAAACGAAAGAGATCTGAACGATCACATAGTCCAGTGTTACATAAGAAAAAGAAAAAGAAAAGTAAGCACAAATCCCGAAGTGGTAGTCCAGAATTTGATGATGAAGGAGGGGTTGGGGATGGTAGTGTTGTTAGTTCAGATGATGACATTTCAGAAGCAATTGTTATTAAAAGTGTTCCAAGAATTATCCCTAGTCATGATCCAAGATCAGCAGGTGCACCATCTAGGGTACGAAATCGTGGCGAGGAGCCCAGTCCTCTTAGTTCAAATGAAGAGGAAATAATAGTAAGCCCTCAGCCACTTCCTGAAGTAAATCATACCCGTGGTAGTGAGCTTCGAAGAACACCACCTACTCATGCATCACATCATAGATCTCGTGAACGAACCCCTACACATAGAACACCACCCAGATCACCCCACACGCCCAGCCCGCCTCGTCATCGTAGTGCCCGACATTCGACGCCACCACAGCCTCAGCCATCATCAACCAGTAAGAATTATGATAGGTCAAGCCGGCCACATCACATAAGCCCACGCAGACCATCTACGCCTCCACTACCAAGTCAGAGACGTGGAAACATTACTCCACCATCCAGAAACTCGCCAAGAAGGCCAGCTTCACATCGTGCCCATACCCCTCCACCTATATACAATAGAAAGAGGTCTCGTTCTAGAAGCCCTATTTCATACATTGAGATTAGGGGTAGCCCAGAAACTCCACCTCATACAAGTAGTAGGTATTATGCAACGGCCTCAGGCTCACGTAAGGAAGAAAAGAAGAAAAAGAAGAAAGACTATCATTCACATGGCCGTAGGAGCAGAAGCAGAAGTCGAAGTGTCAGTAGAAGCCGCAGCAGGAGTAGGGGACAAACACCAAGGTCAGTACATATTGCACTATACTTCAGTAATTTTATTCCAGTGATATGCTATACTGTACAGTATTTATATCTACCTAACCAGATTTTTATATATTGTATGTTTGTTTTTACATGAGATGAAACGGTGAATTGAATACTAAACCAACTAAAACAGTGATTCATTACCAAAGAATTTAGGGATAAATGGTGACTAGATATTACTTGTTTTCCACTCATTTTAGTGTAGTTTAGTGGTAAGGAAGTACTGTACTGTGCAGTATTCCCATGGCTCAACCTACATTATCTAGATGTACTAGATAACTGAAATCAAAGTAGCATTTTGTCCTTGTTATATAAGTGTTACAGCTGTTTTAATTAGGAGTAGTTTTTTGGCTGCTATGATGGCATAGCTGTTTACATTGATACTGTATCCTATTAAGCTTAGCTAGCAGCCAGTATTTTAATTATTGTGACGATTGTGTGAATTAGAGCATAAGGTAGATTATATACAGGTGCTCCTCTACTTAAGAATGTTCAACTTACAAACTTTCAGAGATACAAACATCATCACTGAAGGGGGTTACCTGCCAGAACAGTTGTTTAATGTGGATGAGACTGGATTATTTTGAAGAAAATTCCATATGGAACAAACATTACCTAAGAGGAGAAGAGCGAGCCAGGTTTTAAGGCTGTATTAAAGGGTATAGCTGTACTAAATATCCATAATCTTTTCATTTTTACAATATGTTTGGTATCTACAAGAGTAAAGTTGGACTTACAAACAAGCCTCAGGAACGTAACTCGTTTGTAAGATATATATATATATATATATATATATATATATATATATATATATATATATATATATATATATATATATATATATATATATATATATATATATATATATGGATATATACATATACATATATATACATACATATACACACACGTGCTCGTCTACTTATGAATGAGTTACGTTCCTGAGGCTTTTTTGTAAGTCCAACTTTACTCTTGTAGATACCAAACATATTGTAAAAATGAAAAGATTATGGATATTTAGTACAGCTATACCCTTTAATACAGCCTTAAAACCTGGCTCGCTCTTCTCCTCTTAGGTAATGTTTGTTCCATATGGAATTTTCTTCAAAATAATCCAGTCTCATCCCCAAAAGAAATCGATAAAATACGGGAGTTACGTTCCTGAGCCTTCCTTTGCCCCACGAAATACATTACATATACAGAAAATCATTGCCATTTCTATAGAAAATAGTGCATGCATATACAACTTCTAAGTTTGTATTGGTACTCACCGATAGGCGGAGGTGGTAGAGTGAGTGTGTGGTGGGTAGTGGAGCGGAGGAGGAGGGTGGTGAGTCACTGAGACCCGATGGGTAGCTCCTCCTCCTTCTCAAAACGGTTTAAAACCTCCATTTTTGTAGCAAGGCTAATGGTCTTACATTGCTTCTTCACAACACTAGCTAGCATCAGTAGCACTTGATGGGCACTTGGAAGCCATTTCGAATGGTTGCAGTACAGTACTGTATTAAGAACAAAAACACTTAAACACGCACCGCTCCGAGAGAGGGTGATGAGCCGTAAAAAGTAGTCCGTAATGAAGCAAAACGACGTTGTATTGAGTCATGGGACGTTAAACGAATATTTGGTATATAAAGATTAGCGACATAGTACCGAAACAACGTTAAGCGGGCTGACGTTATACGAGGACTTACTGTATATCAGGTATTCTCTAGAAATGTGCATGATTCTAATGGTGATGTGAAACTTTCTGCTTAAATTATGCTGTTAACTTTAAAAAAAAATTTTACTTCAAAATTTAAACATGAAAAATATTTTTCTTATAAATTAAAATTTTAAAATATTTTTCTAACTAACATAGGCAGTCTTAATAAAAAGTTGCTTTATATATCTTTAACCTTCAGGTTTATATGTTCAATATGCACTACTAATCTACCTTCTCCTTCATGGTTATGGGTACTAACATGTGCTAGAGTAATAACTTCTTCACCAGGTGCATGAGTTTCCTTAACTTGTGGACTCTTGAAAGTTGTGACATTATTCCCCACTACATTTGTGTCTAACTCTTTATTTATCCTTAAGTGCTACATACAAACTTGCTGTTATTGACTAACCTGTCAAAATCTTGAGGTGGTTAATATAGTTGTCATATGAACTGCTTGCTAGTTTAACTTGTGTACAAGGATTTTGATAAGTTGCATCTTGTATGCAGTACTTACTTGCTTAACCCCATTTTTCCATCTTGGTCTTCCTCTTGCCATCTTCCTCGGTATTATGCAATCTTTTTTGCCAATGTTCCATTCCATTTTCTCAGTATGGTGTGGACAAATCATCTTAGTGCCTGGTGGCTACATATCTCACATCCTGCCCTAAGGATTCTTGGTTTGATTCCTGGGGGTTTCTCAGTCCACCCAACTGTAAAACGTGTGCTTAACTTTACAGTTGGGGAAGTGAAGGCAGTGCCGGCCACACTGCCTTCATGCATACTGAAGGCTTTGTACAGTGTGTTGTGTCCACAATCTAAGAGTAATTCATGCCTATGGGACCCACTTTAAATTTTCAGTTCAAGATCAGTAATATAGGTTTCTTTAAATTTATTTCTTCATTAATTTTACGAATATTGTCAAGTACTGTACAGTATTGTAATAAGTTTTTATTGCGTGTCTTCCCTATCTATTACTGTATGATCACTTATTTTATAATATACTTTGTCAGTATACTGCATCTTTGTCTTAAAAATGAAAATATTTGGCATGTGTTACAATATCAATAACATTTTATTAGTACAGGTACGAGAATTGATTCACCTTTCACTTGACAGTCACCATGATTAAAAACCTGGTGTAAGATTATGTTGTTGAAGTCTGGTCTACTTATTCCATCAATTTTTGTTTAAACTAATTTTTTACCCATTAGATAATAGAATTTTCATGAATATTCTTGTTAATAGTCACTATCTAATGCAGTAGACGGAAACGTAGAAGTGGAAGCCGCAGTCCTACCCACAGACGAGATCGTGTCCACAGACGATCCCCAGCTCGACCCCGTCATCCCTCACCTCGTCGTCCTCCTGCGGCAGCTGGTGGTCTAGCACATGATAACAATATGAGTTCAACAAGCTTATTTGCAGAACTTGTTAAGAGTAGAAAGAACAGAGAACGTATTATGGCTTTAATGACCAAGGAAGGGGAAAAGACTGAAAAGGGTAAGGAAAATGTAGAACCTGAAGGAGGTGGGTCCACCTCAGGTCCTGACACCCCTACCCCTGGTCCCACTCCAGCTCCATCTGCTATTCCAAATGGAGCAGCCAAAGTTGAAAATAATGCAGGAGCCACAGCTGACCAGGAAGAAACTTCTAACCAGTCTTGTCAATCAGATCAGCCAGCAATTAATACCTCACAAACTCCTGAGATAGGTAAAATTGACTTCAAGAAAGTTACAGTACCAACTAGCCTCACAAAACTACCAATGCCACCAGGCATCAATTTGGAAGACATTGATTCTCCTACATCTCCCAGTACACCTCCAGAGTCCAAGCCCACCAGGAAAAGTATTATCACAGATCTTCCTATGCCTCCAAGTAAGATATTATGATTTTGTTATTCACAATGTTGAGTTAGCATTTGCTTAGTGTTTGTAATGCAGTATAGCTATTTTAAACTTCCATTTAATTAGACTTGTGTATCTTTATAGTGATAGCAGGAACGGAGGAACTTTCACCAGATGATGATGCTCTGAGTACACCACCTCTCTCAAGATCAGCCCCCCCCAAACCAAGACCAACAGCAGCAAGACCAAAAATTTTAAATGCAAAGCGGCAGGATCGCACCTCTCTTGAAGACTGGAGTGAGCGTTGTGTTGAAGTGTTTGACATAATTGCACAGATTGGAGAGGGAACATATGGGCAGGTGTATAAAGCAAGAGCCAAAGATAAGAAAAGTAAGTGTGCCTTTTAGATTCATTTTGTTATTTATCTTACCTCTTATCATGAAAGCCTTACCATGCACCTAAGATAGGTAACAGTATAACCTTCAAAATTCAGCACTGTTAAGACCCGAGATGTTGCTGGAGTTGTGAAAGTTCTAAACGAGTTCCATTTATATATGCAAACCCCCACCCCAAAACTGCAACATTCTCTGTTTAAGTTCCCAAGGTGAGTTGTGATACATTCTTTATTAAGCAAAATGTTCTAGTTTTCACTTTAAATCAAGTTCCTAGTGTCATCCAGATTTGATTTGTTAACCCATTTGGGTATACCAATCTCCATTCCCTTCCAGCCACACTGAACAGTACAGTACCTTATTAGAGCTATGTCTAACTAGCCAGCACCAGACCTGCCAGTCTTCTTTCTTTAATTTAGTTTCTTGTTGACAGTGTGAGACAGTGGAAATACTGGCGGACTCTTGCTCTAATAAGATTCTACAAAAGTTAAGTGACAACCAGTGGTAGATCCTTTGAGTTGAGGACTATATACAGTACAGTACAGTACAGTACTATATGAAAAGGAATGGAAGTTTTTTTTTTTCTGTGAACTAATCATAAACAAACAAACCTTTGAAAGATGACTGGGAGACCACAGAGCAGATCATAATGTGTACAGTTAGAGCCATGAGTATGCATAGAAGCATCACTAGCTCGTGAGTATCCTATGCAGTACGTACAGTATGTAGTAACGCCACTAGCCCATGTGATTCAGTCCTGATTATTGTCCAGCAAGTGGATGAAGATCTTGATAAAAATGAAAAAGGTTGATATTGTCAATGGAAGTTGGTTCATGGTGTTAAATAGTACAGTACTTTATACATAAAACAGACCTGTGTGTACTGTACACCTCAGTCATGAAGATTTGATGAGCAAGTGTTCAGGATTTTTTTTTTTTTTTCATAGTTGTAAGCTTTCTTAGGCTCATGAATAACTGATCTCTGGATATTCAAGATTCTTCCATATTTAGAATTTCTTGAATTTGTCTCGATTGAATTGTTGGAGGCGGGTCAGATTTTGTTAATGTTTGCACGGAATAAGTTCTTATTTTATTAAGAAATTTGTGTTTAGAGCCAATTGATTCTTTGAATTATATTCTGCTTGTGATACCCCACTTGGATTGTGGGAAGAGGTAACATGGTTTGTAGAGTTTTGAAATTTTAATCATGCTTATAACCTCAAGGCCAGTATTATTGCTGGTTTGTTAATTAACTCATTATTATTGTAGATGATGAAATGGTTGCCCTCAAGAAGGTCCGTTTAGAAAATGAGAAGGAAGGATTTCCAATCACAGCTGTCCGGGAAATTAAAATCTTGAAGCAACTTCATCACAAAAATATTGTCAACCTCAAGGAGATTGTCACAGACAAGCAGGATGCTGTTGACTTTAGACATGTAAGTTTAGCAGTAACTTTCACATTAGGAATAAATACAAGCTGCACATTAGCTGATATGATATCTTGTAAGAGTTGGGGCCTCCTCCCTCTTGTTTGCTAGAGGGAAAACCTTACTTTTACTCATTTCAGGGATAGAATACTAGTAAGATTAGCCTTTGCCACTACTGTCAGATTTCCTGGGTTTAGACTGTGACCACAATACACAGTCTGCCTATATCTAGGATTATCTATATAATGGGATTCCAATATCCCATTTAATTTAGAATTATGACATGTTATCAATATAGGAACTCCATACAGATGCATGGTTTGGTGGTTTCTGTTGGAATGATTACTGTACAGTACTGTATTATTTTTTACAATTTTCTATTTTCTTTTGGACAAAGATATGATGCAGCTGATGAGACATGTGTGTGTCTTCCACAGATCTTTTTATTTATTTTTTCCCATTTTTTTACAGGACAAAGGTTCATTCTACTTGGTATTTGAGTACATGGACCATGACCTGATGGGGCTTCTTGAGTCTGGCATGGTGGAGTTTTCTGAGCAACATAATGCTTCCATTATGCGGCAGCTCCTCAATGGCCTTAATTACTGTCATAAAAAGAATTTTCTTCATAGAGATATTAAATGCAGCAATATCCTCATGAATAACAAGTGAGTACTTTTTTATTGTTTAGTGTTCACTTCCAGATTTCTTGATGAATTTTCACCATTAATCATCTGATTAAGAAAATTTTTTATATATTAATTTTGATCAAAGAGTAATTTTGAATTTCAAGTGAGTTGATGAAATTCCTTAGAAGCCTTATAAATGGGAACAATAACCTAAATAAGGTATTTGGATTCTGGCCCTCAGATACCCAAAAACCACGCCTTAGCAGACCTCGGATTTAAAAAAAATATTTGATGATAGATGTAACTACTCTTTTTCCCTTTACCAAGCATTTTAGAATAACCTTTAATTTAAACCCCAATATAACAGTTCCTAATGTGCTGTTTGCCTAAATTTTGATTGGATGGCTGCATGTGCTTTTCCAGACAACTTTGATCATATCACTTTCTTGAGGTTGTGTATGAGTCTTTATGTGCTGGCAGGTACAGTATAGTAACAGCTTATTAAAGCTTAGTAAAGCATCTGCCAGATCTAGTGTCTGCTGGATATTAGACTATACCAGTTAAAAGAGCATTTACCATAGATAGTTTACTGGAAAAATGTTTGACACCATATTTATGTTTTAAAGTACAGTACTGTATTTCCATAACTTTTAATAATAAATTGTTTGGAACAAAAGTAAATGTAAAACATATATACAGTAAAACCTAGATAATTGGCACATTTGGGGCTCTGGCCTTGCCGAGCTATCCCAAATTTTGACTTATGGAGGCAACCCCCCCACCTACAAAAATACAAAAAAAAATTATCGACCCATATATGTGTACCGGTACATGTAATTGCTAAATGTAAAAAGCTAACTCTTACCAGCACTGCAGGTGAAGAATGAAGCATCATAGTAGGTGACAGTGGCATGGTAGGTGAGGTGGCCAGTCATGCAGATTTTCCCAGATAATTTAATATATCTCAGCATTTCCTGAGTTATACCAATACATTCCGAGACCATATCCATGCCGAGTTATATGAAATTCTGAGTTAGCAAATGCTGAGTTATCGAGGGTTTACTGTACAGGGGGTCCACGGTTTACGAACGTGTTCCGTTCTTAAGTCGGATTTGTAAATTAGTCGGAACACATACTGTACACTGTGTGCACTATATCGTAGCCCACGTCCTTTTATAGTACATCTTGAATCACTTAATTTAAGAGAAAAGAAGAAATTGGATGACAAAATACAGTCAAGAAAGGTAAAAATTAATGTTTAACCCTTAGGCCCCAGGTGACGTTCCAGAAAGTCTACCTATTTTCCCGCCAATTTTTTTTTTTTTTCTTTAACTAACCCTAACCCGGGGCTTAACGGTTAACACTTATATTGAAGCATGGGGCTGGCTTGCATGTATAGATGGGCATTTGTAGGAGTGACAAAGGCTTTATTGGAACGAAGCTGAAGATGGTGATAATGATGTATACAGTACTGTATGTTAACAGGATTGGTTGTGGAGAATCTGGCAAGGTAGAATTAACTGGTTCTGGAGTTGCTGGGAGTTCCTCTGGAGGTGCTGCAGAGATTGGTGGGATTGGTTCTGTAGATGCTGCAGAGATTGATGGGACTGGATATGTAGATGCTGCAGAGGTTGATGGGATGTTCTGTAGATGCTGCAAAGGTTGATGGGACTGGTTCTGTAGATGCTGCAGAGGTTGATGGAACTGGTTCTGTAGATGGTGCAGTGGTTGAAGAAACTGGTTCTGTAAATGCTGCAGAGGTTGATGGGACTGGTTCTGTAGATGCTGCAGAGGTTGATAGGACTGGTTTTGGCTGCCTTTTGACTTTCTTAAAAACTTTTCACTGGATGGTTGAACTGAAACTTTCTTCTTTTCTTCATAAATCTCTTTGTAGCGTCATAGACATTCAGTAATACTTCTATGAACCTTGGTGAATCTTGCAATGTTGGGATCTTGCTGTTCAAATTTAAACAATCCTTCATCAATAAGCCTGAAACCTTCTGCCATTTCTTTTGGAACGAATCACTTTGGCTCTGGAGTTTCAGCTTCCTCTACATCCTCTGACAAAATTTGCTTCTCTAGTTCAATCAGGTCCTCATTGCTTAATTCTTTGGCATGAGACTCAAACAACTGTGACATCATCTTCAAAGTCCATGAAATAGTGGACAAACTGTGGGTAGAGTTCTTTCCAACCGCCTTTCATGTTGGTTTCTTTTACCTCAGCCCATAGATCTGCAAAATGTTGTAGGACTTCCAAAATTCCTTTAAAGTCCTGCACTCTTTTCGTTCTGTTGCCTGAAAGCTTGAGCAAATGTCCTTCTCCGGTAATATGCTTTAAAATGAAGCAATTACTCCCTGGTCCATCGGTTGTAAATTAGATGTTGTGTTTGGAGGTAGGTACGTAACCTTAATGTTTGGATGAACATCATCCAAAAATGCTGGATGGTCAGGTGCATTTTCAAGAACCAAGAGAATTTTGAAAGGCATTAACTTTGAAATAAAATACCGCTCCACTTCAGGCACAAAAAGGGACAATGTCATCCAAGCCTTCTTACTAGCTTTCCAGTTAACTGGAAGTGATGCCTTGAAAGCATCTAGGTATTTCTGACTGGTAGACAAGCAAACATTTTAGTTTATAGTCACCAGCAGCCTTCCCTAGGCAGCTTTATGCCCTGGTGCTGTTTTTTCATGTTTTGAAAGGTTTGCGGGTTCAGGCATCCTTTTCCAAAATAAACTAGTCTCATCAATATTAAAAACTTGCTCAGCACAATAACCTCCTCCTTCAATTACTTTAGCTGCAACTTCATTGGCACTTGCAGCTTCACCTTGCATTTTAATGTTATATAAGCTTGCCCTTGCCTTGAACCAGTTAAACCAGCCCCTACTAGCAAAAAAATCTTCTCCATCACTTTCACCACCATATTTAACCTTCAAGTCAGCATGCAAGCTTCTCGCTTTTTCCTGAATCAATGCAAGACTTAGAGGCAGACACCGTTGATTTTGATCTTCTACCCATATCACTAACAATCATTCCATTTCAATTAACAATCCATTTCTTTGTTTTGTTATCACAGTTGAGTGCATTGGTGAAGATCCTACACGTTCAAGAATTTTGTGTTTGTCTTTCAAAATTGTTCCGGCCGTTGACCGGCTGAAGCCCAATGTTTTACTGATCACCGAGGGCATTTCGCCCTTTTCAGAACCTTTAATTACATCTAATTTCACGTCCATTGTAATTGTTTTCTTTTTTTGGATGCACTACTATCACTTGCATCAGGTTTGCATTTGGAAGCCATGATGAGGGCCATAAAGTAGTTAATAAGCAAAAAACAAAAAGTTTGCACTTGATCACACAAGATTACTGAGGTGAGGATAAAGCGTACTGATGCCCCCTTAAGGTGGGTAGCTGGGTGACGCATCATTCCCCACATGCCGTTCTGTGTCCCCTTTACGGCGCGTCGAGTAAGTCTTGTACGTAACTGCTGCGAACCATTGTACTTATGTCGGATTTTTAAAATAATTGACCTTATGGGACCTCATTCGTATCTGCGGGCGTTCCTAAGTTGGACGTTCGTAAATCGGCGACCCTCTGTAAACTGTACTGTAGAAACATTACTAAGTGTACTGAACAAATACAATATGCATTTATATTAGGGTTAATAGAAACTCCGGATACAATAAAATTCCAGTAAGTTTATATGCTATATAGTAAAGTTTTCACTGAATTATTGAATCTTTATAAAGCAAAGAGGGTCATGTAATACAAACTGTTTCGGGGAAGTAGAATATACTATACCTTATGTTCCTCATATATGTAAGTCATGGTAATTTATAAATCTAATCCTTCCTTTTGCATTTTATGGGGGGGGGGGGTTATGAATTTTTTGCATTCTACCTAATGTATTGGTATTACTAGAAAATAGGATTTCAGGATCAGTCCCTCAAGTAGTATGGGTTGTGTTGACAATGTACTGCTTCTCATAAGTCTACTTCTTTTTTCAGGGGTCAAATCAAACTTGGTGATTTTGGTCTTGCTAGATTATTTAGTTCAAACAAGGAGCGCCCATATACAAACAAGGTCATCACATTATGGTATCGCCCCCCTGAATTGTTGCTAGGAGAAGAGCGATATGGGCCAGCCATTGATGTGTGGTCATGTGGCTGTATCCTTGGGGAACTCTTCCAAAAGCGTCCACTTTTTCAGGTTGGTAATTTTTAATTTTTGTATGTCTGTAAATTAATATAGTATTGCAGTGTTTTTGTCTTACTTTGTTTTTAATGTAATGTGTAAAACTCAGTTTTATTTTTAATTGTAGGCCAGTACTGAAGCCATGCAGTTAGATGTAATATCTCGAGTGTGTGGGACACCATCACCAGCTGATTGGCCAGACATAGTAAAATTACCTGGCTGGGGAACAATGAAGCCTAAAAAGACATACCGAAGAAGGATTATGGAAGACTTCAAAGACAAAATGCCTCAACCAGCCTTGGACCTTCTAGATCAAATGCTGAAGTTAGATCCATCCAAACGTATCAGTGCAGAAAACGCTCTTAATAGTGCCTGGCTGAAGAATGTTGATCCTGACCTGTAAGTGTATAGCTAATTCTCTGTCCTGATATATATATATATATATATATATATATATGCAAGTAAATCACTGTGGGTGCGCGTGATCCAGGTATATGCTGATAACCACAAGGAAAGAAGAAAACACGGAGTTCCCAAGCGCTTTCGTGTAATTCACATCTTCAGGGGTGAGTACAGACTAAGGAGAAGTACAAAACAAGGTGTATATATACAGAGGAGGGTGAGATCAAGTCCACAATGGTCAGGTATTAGGTAATGACCCTACTAATCTTCAAAAAAGCACCGCAGCAGTCGGTAGTCAGGTCAGGGTAAGCTGACCCAACCTTCTCACCTGGTTACAAATCTTCTTAATTATGAAATTATCCAGTTTGTACATACCATTTCGTAATTAAGAAGATTTGTAACCAAACAATTTTATCAAAGATTTATGTTATTACTGTAGTAGAGTTACAGGTAATTAGGGTATATATTCTGTTTTCTTGGTGCCTATTACAATAGTGTGGATTGGGTAATTGATGCATATCAAGATCCCTGATATGTATGGCTGGGATTTAATTCTTGGAATTGATCCAAATACACTAATAGCTAAGTGATGTCCAACAACAACCATACTTGCCTTTAACTTAAGAGTGAGTGAAAACAAATCTCTCCCTCTCTCCATGAGACAAAATAATGAGCTTCTTGAAAATTTCTATGGATTATTAAAGAACAGTACATGTATATAAAAAATCACTTTCTTGTATGTTACAGAATGGAACCACCACCATTACCCAAGTATCAGGATTGCCATGAGTTGTGGAGTAAGAGAAGGAGGCGCCAACTCAAGGAACAACAGGAGGCAGCAATTGGTGTTGTGGGGCCCCAGTGTCCCCAAGGAAAACCAGTGGGACCTGTAGGTAGCTCACAAGGTTTTACTGGCCCTCACAAGGATCAACGTCCAGTATACAGAGGTGGACCTGATGAAGGGAGCCTTGATGGACGTCGCCATGAGAGTAACAGTGGGGAAGGCTACATAAGCAATAGCCTGCCAGCTTCCCGGAGTAATTCTCCAAGACCCTCCTCATTACACTACCGAGGGCCAGGTTCACATACACCCCCAGGTGCAGCAGCTGGGGACAGCCTTACTCCACCCCAGGTCACTCATCGCTACAATACTCCACCTGTAACTCATGATGACTCTCATCCACTCTACCGCCCACTTTACCATCTGGCACACTTAATAAACACTCGACAGACTGTAGTTTTTGGTCAGTTAGCTGCTTTGACGAGTGATCAGGCAAGTACTTAAATGGCTGGCTGCCAATTTTTCATGTCAGAGGCACATTACTACTGTTGGAATTTAATTTTTTTTTTTTTTTTTTGTGATTTAATGTCTGAAATATTTGCTTCTTTCTTAGTATTTGTAATTCAACTGGCTTTATTTTGGGTTTCACAGATGGATGTAGGTATACGTCGATTACTAGAAAGATTGAATGCAGCCGTACTTTTGGCAGCCACAGCTCGAGAGAGGCGGATGCGTAGTGATTCTGCGGTCATAGATGTGAGCGAATTAACTGTAGAGCCTAATGAGCCCATTATTACTCCATCAGGTTTGTATTTTACAATATGGTACTATATACTAGTAGTTTTGAAGGTTAAGAATTTTCTTAGTTAATATTCCAATTATATAGTGCATTTTTTCCAAGCTGAGAAAAGATGCCCCACCCCTCCTCAAGAGTTACAGCTGATTGACTGTTGCAAATCTGTTCAATTTCGTCATGAAGTAATGATATATTTCTAAATGAGTTTATTCATAATCGTTGGGATACTGATTCTGACGAGAAAGATATCAAGCTAAATTATATAAAGATACATACATTCATTATTTCAAACATGAGCACATAAGAAGTTTATCAGAAATCTTATACATGAACTAACTGTTAAACTCTGGTAGTAAATTCATGCTTTTGGAAGGCACATTTAATATATACAGTACTTACTTTTACCAACAATAAGGCATACTATGACAAATTACATATCAGTAAAACCACATTATGCAAAAACTAACATTTTAAAAGATCAGAATCACATTGAAAATTTTACAAGGCCCCTGAAAGTTAGTGGATGAGTGTGACAGACTTGGCCGTTCGAGCGAACAGCTGTCACAAAAGCGGGAAATATGAAGTTGTTCGCAGTCATATTTCCCGCCTCTGCTGATGGCCTTGTCATATTTCAGTGTGATTCTGATCTTTTAAAATGTTAGTTTTTGCATAATGTAGTGCAGAATTACTGATACAAAGTTTGTCTTAGTATGCCTTATTGTGGGTAAAAATGAGTACAGTATATATTAAATGCGTCCTCCAAAAGCATGAATTTGCTTCCAGAGTTTAACAGTTAATAAATAATAAGATTTCTGATAAACTTCCTATGTGCTCATGTTTGAAATAATGAATATGTATCTTTATATAATTTAGCTAAATATTTTTGTCATCAGAAACAGTCATCCCAACGATTATGAATAAACTTATTTAGAAATACATCATTACTTCAGAACGAAATCTGACAGATTTGCAACAGCCAAATCAGCTGTAACTCTTAAGGAGGGGGTGGGGCATCTCTTCTCAGCTGGGAAAAATGCACTATAGTGAATTCCTGCTTTCTGGAAAAGGATTTAAAATCTCAGATTAAGATCACCCCACTCATTGAAATCTTATCCAGACTACTGGCTTTAAGGTAAAGTCTGCATCCTGGTATACCTAACATTTTCAAGTAAGAAGAAATTAGACAATCTTATCGTAACTGTGGGCTGGTATAGTTTTATACTAGAAATTACATTGCTTTGACCCATTGTTAATTGTAGAAATTAAGAAAATTTAATTAAACTATTGAATATGGGTCATCTCCAAAAAATCCATTACCAGTGTTATGGAATTTAAACCCTTTCATCAATTTTGAGTGGTCATTCTATAATGCATATTTAAAATTATCAAGTTGAATTTTAGGTTACTCCTACAGTTGTGTTTTCATTTTTATATTAATGCAATTAGTTAATCAATATCCACCTAACACAATTTCATATGAACTGGGCCTACAGTATTTGGAAGATAGAATGACCCTATGAGTATATGGAAAGACTAGTACCAAACCGATGAATATGTTATCTATCACCAATAAAAAATATCAGTTGCAGGGCATTATATCATAAGGTTTCAGGCAAGGAAATTGAACTCCTCTTAAAATCCATTATTTTCTTCATGGCCTCCGATTGACATACCATTAATTGAGGGTGTGACATCATAGAAAACTTTTGATATTGACACAATCATGGGAGTACTACTGTACTTGTCTTCAGAGCCATTTTTACACATTTGACAGGTTGAACATGACTCGGTTTTCTTCCTAAATGTACATTAAACAAACAGCTGATATGCTGTTGGATCAACGCCATTTAGTGTGACATATCCAAGGCATCTACACTACATTGATATGCAGTGTAATAGTGTATATATATATATATATATCCTCCCCGACTTACGACTGGGTTAGGGACTCAAATCCAGGTCGTAAGTCGAAAATGCTTAAATAATGCAAAGAAAAATCTAAAATGGGTGTCTCTTTTTCTTCTCAGCACCACTAAACTCTCACTTTTAAGCTTGCCATCCATTTTAAAGTGAATTACAAACGAAATTTTGTCTGTGTATTGATGTTGGGACTTGAAAATACATAGTTTGAAAAAATTTTGGTACGACTGAGGCAGGTCGTAAGTCGGGGAGGAGCGGTGTGTGTGTGTGTATATATAGATAGATAGATATAGATAGGGGGGGGTGAAGATCTGGGAGTTAGATGAAAGAAATAATGGCTTACTGGCAGTGTAAGGTAAATTATATTTTCTTATCAATACTGTCCCTATTTTTGCTATTTTATTTTTCAGCTTTATTTGGGGAAGGTGACATTGGACTACTATCAGAAGGTGTTCGAGAAGCTTTGTCACAGCTGTTTGGTCTCTTCAATCTTACTGTATCAGGGTTAGCTCCAGGTCCTGTTCAACCTACTAGAGGTCAAATGATTCCCCACAGTGACCATACCCACCGCTACAACAACACTGGTCGTGTTACATGACCATTTTCGTCAACACCATAGTAGGTTGCTTAAAACCTAAAAGGTATTACATTCTACATATTTTGGTGCATATCTTTGTCACTCAATTTTTACAAAATTTGAACAATATTTTTCTCTAAAACTAATAAATTACCTTTTCTAAATCCATATTAGGGTTGGCAGTTGTAGATGGGAGTGAGTATGGTGTGGGGTGCTCAGGTGTTCCTGCAGTCAGCCTTGTTCCTTAACTACCCCACCCTTACCCAGATGTGTTGTGCCACTACCGTCAACACCACTCACAGCCTCAAAGAGTGGTAGATTGTCTTCTGGAATAGTGGTTTCTTTAAGCTGCTACCCTCTGTGGGCATTCAGGAAGTATGATTGTGAATTGCATTACCAGTGAATGATTTAAGGTTACTGCAACAGTGTTCCAGTTGGACAAAAAGAAAAAAATGGACAGCAGGTTAGTGGGTGGATGACAAGGACTTCCCTGTTATACCAGGAGTAAATCGTCAAGCATTCCATGAAGCCTCCATGTTTGATATTTGCTAATATAGAATGACCATGTTTGTTAACAGTTAATGAGTGAGCTTAAGCTGTGTTGACCTTAGACAGTGTCTTGAGGACATGACTGCTGTCCTGGAACAAATGGTCTGGTGTCTGACGCAGTTGTCAGGCTGTTCAATCTGTGATGTGTATTATAAATGTAAATCTAAATTATGCATCTCCTCCACTGCAGTTCTTTAGTATTGACTTTAATACAGAGATCTGCAGGTTGTTACAACAAGTTCTGTAGAATTACCGAGATAAAATTTTGTCTATAGTCCAATGTGTACCATTGGTTTGTAATGGTAACTTTTATATAAATAAAATAAAACAAAAAAACAAAACAATGTATTTACTTACCTAATTTTTTTGGTCAATCTTCTCAGTCATGCTACCTTAAAGAATTATAGAAGTTGTGGTGAAATTCTCTAGCTGGTGAAGAATTAGACAACTTTTTAGGGTAAAGAACAAAGAGATCATATAGGTAGTACCAATTATTAGTAGTAGTGTTTATGAAGTTTTAAAATTTTGAGGCAAAAAAACATTGAAAAGGCATAGGTGGCCAGTAATTACGGTAATATCTCAATTAGCCGGAATCCCTCAAACCCTAAAATCTCTGATAACCGGAATTGAAATTTGCTCGGAAAACATTCCCAAAGGCAGAAAAAAAAATTCCGGCTTTGGGAACAAACTTTCCTTGGTTGAAAATTGAGAATTTTCTGAAAATGTCTTGAATGAAGATGAGGGGCTGACCTGGCCTCACTCAATGTCAGGTGGGGGGATTAGTGGTCTCATATTACTGTACTGACCTTCTGATGGAATGTCAGGTCACCTTCCTTGGTTGGAGGATTAGTGGGTCTCATGACCTGAAAATGTCTTGAATAAACACGAAAGCTAAAATATTTTTAGGGAGACTGTGATGAGTATAAGCATAAATGAGCAAAGTTGTATCCCTTCAACATTACATTAAATAACATTTTAAAATATGGAGTGAGAAAGCAGAAAGGTGTGGGTGATGAGATGGAGTGGAAAAGAGTGATAACATGCACCAGTGTTGCCAAATTATAAGCTCCTCAACAGCTGATCTTTTAATTTGCCTCCATGCAGTCACACAACAAGACCCTTACTGGATGCTTCTTGTCTTACTTCCTGTGTGTGTGTGTGTAGTTGTGTTTGAGTGGTTGTGTGGTTGTTTGTGTCTGTGTGGTTTTGAGTGTGTGTACTCAAATGTACTAAGTTAATTTCAGCAATGCAAGTTATATTTTCTTAAGTCAAAGCAGTGACATTTAATAAGGGAAAACTAAACTCCTTCATTTATAATCCTTGAGCAAGCATTAATCTCCCCTCCTGGGACAAGGGTCCAGTGGGGGGGGAGACTACGCCCCCTCCCAGCAAAAGGGTTCCTAACTGTGTCTACTGTACTGTTCATTTGTTTTTCATTAATTAGTGCAGATACGTTACTGTAACAATCTGTGCTTATTAATACCCGTACCATCTACCCGGTATATGCAATACAGTATAGCACTATGTATGTACACTCGCAACAAAAAGTATCGGTGCATACTGTAGTGTGAACAATTTGAGATCAGTGACCGTATTGGGAAAGGCGAGTTGTTCCAGCCGTATGTTGGCAGCCCTGTAATCCTGCTGAGCTCCGAGACCTGTCGTCTGTAGCACCAGTTTCGAGGTATCGCTGAATCCAACGTGCAGCGGTGTTCCTGTGGACACCAACCCGCCGGCTAATATCTGTAACGCCGAACCCTTCGTTATGAAGGGCAATAATAGCTCCTCGTGTTCCCTCTGAGGTTTCCATGTCGTCTGGCATGTGTAGATCTCTACTGCTTCATATTGCCTCTGTTTTATACCCACGTTCACCGAGACCGAACCCTCGCTCATCATTCAGTCGACACAAAGCAACAATCCAAAAAGAGGAAACAAACACACTGATTGTCAGCCATATGGCAACACCTAGTGGAGGGGGGGGGGGGTTATGAGGATACACTTACCAACCTTCCCGACATATCACAGTGTATACGTATCGTTTCGGAAGTCGTCGATCTCACCCTGCACCGATACTTTTTGGTGCGAGTGTACCTCGGGTAAAAAAAATTTCATTCAAGACATCTTCAGGTCTTGAAGACCTACCAATTCCCCAGAGGGATTTGAGAAAGAAGCAGAGTTGGACAAGGAGATTGTGTCCATTGGTCAGTCAATGGGCCTCGAAGTGGAGGAGGATGATGTGGAAGAGCTTGTGATGTCTCATGAGCAGGAACTTACTCCTGAAGACTTGCAGCAACTGGATGAGATGTTAGAAGCTGACAGTGGTGAGGAGGAAAGGGAAGTGATGACCATATGTCTTCTTCAGATTTGAAAGATGTTGTTCACGACTGGGAGAAGTTTAGGAAACTGGCTTCAAGGCACCCTGATGTGGAAACAACAGAACCTATTTTGTGTAATGTTGAGGACAGTGGTCTCCTTCAAAAATCAGTTAATGGTGAGGAGAAATGCCCCACAAATAAAAATTGACAGTTTCTTTTCTAAAAGGCAGCGGGAGAAAGATGCTACCCCTCAGCCTTCCACCTCAAAAAGGAGAGAGGATTTTCCTGCTGGAGAATCTGTCAGTCCAGAGGTTCCTGACATTTATATGGAAGGTGACTCGCCTTCCAAGAAGCAGTAAAATGCTTCTCCTCCACCCTCACTTCCTTCTCTTCTCTTCCTCCACCTCCCACTTCAAATTCACATCAGCATCATCAACCAGGAGCCTTCTACATACACACCTCAAAATAAGTGTACTTTACTGCATTTTTTTTTACTTTATGTAATTTTCGGTGAGCTGGAACCAATTACCCAAAATCCCATTGAAGCAATGGTTTTGGTTAACAAAATTTTCGGTTAATGAACAACCTTCTGGAACAAATTGTGTTCGTTAACCGAGGGACCGCTGTAATTCCATCTTTGATATAAAGCCTGTATCTATACATATGTGTGTGAGATTGATGTATTTTAAAATTCTGCTTAAATAACTAAGTACCCCCCAGCACTCCCCAGATGTTAAGTGGTGCAAAAAATTCAGCCACTCATCAATTGAATCAAAAAGTGAAGTCACCACAGCCACACCCCCAATTAGAGGGACAGTTCATGGCGAGTCTTTTTAGTCTGACTCGGTCACTAAGGAGGCAACAATCATCCACAAACTCCTCAACTGAAGGAGTTTGACAGCTACTTTGCATGCCCAGGGTATGAGATGGAGCTACTGAGGTCTTTCCCAACATTATGACTTATCTCTGAAGCTAAACATCCCACTACCTGCATCTTCTGCTTATGACCATCTGTTTAGTCATTTTAGGCTTATAATTTATTATTTAATTAATTTATTTCACCTCAGGGGTGACAAGCCTATCCCAAGACCATGCGGTCAGACACTAATACATTGGTACTTGTGTCTCACAGGACACGCTATGACTTGAGATACGGAGATAGCACTTACCAAAGTGTGGGTAGCATACAAGAATTAAAACTAAATTATTACAAATAAGTAGGTGGTGACATATAGTGGTAAGTGACTCTCCCTGTGGTAGGAGGTCCCTAACAGTGGGACAGTCAAGGGTGTTAGCGTAGGGACAGTAACAAAGCTTACAGGAAGAGAAGTGCGGGTCATCCCCCACCTCAAATACATGCCAGATAGGTCTGTATCCTAGCCTAATGCGAGCAGACAACATTATGTCTGTGAACTTTAAGTCCACGTCAACGATATTGTGTGGATAAAGAAGAAAGTGATCACAGTGTTGTATTGATATATTTTCAGCCCACTCACCATCCCTGCGATGGACTGTAGGGAATAGAGCGGCTGAACGTATTCTCTTTCGGTAGGTTATAATGGGCTTATATTTAGGCCTAAAAGATTCTGATTGGACAACCATAATTTTGAAAATCAATTCTTGATTAACCTTAATACAGGAAGTCCTCACTTAACGTCGTGGTTCCGTTCCTGAAAACCGCGACGTTAACGGAATAAATTTTCCCCATAAGAAATAGATAAAATACGGCAGTTACGTTCCCCAGCCTCCCTATTCCCCATAAAATACATTACATATACAGGTACTCCTCGACTTACAACCACCACAGTTGTACCAAAAAATTTTAAAATTATGTATTTTCGAGTCCCGACGTTAGTGATTGCTCTGTGTACTGACAAAATTTTCGTTTGTAATTCCCTTAAAAATGGCTGGCAAGCTTAAAAGTGAGATTTTTGTGGTGCTAATAAGAAAAAGAGACACCCATTTTAAATTTTCTATGTATTATTTTCGACTTACGACCTGGATTTCGGTCCCTAACCCCGTTGTAAGTCGGGGACTGCCTGTACAGAAATTCAATGGCATTTTTATAGTAAATATATATACAGCTAGACCCCGACTTACGACAGGGTTAGGGACCCAAATCCAGGTCGTAAGTCCGAATGGTTGTAAGTCCGACATAGATTAAAAAAAAAGAAAAAAAAAAAATTAAATAAAAAATCTACAATGAAATACAGTACAGTAAAAGTAATAAATAATGAGGAATGGATACAGTACAGTGAAAGTAATAAATAATGAGGAATGGATACAGTGTGACTGAGCACTTACCTTTAATGTAGTCAGCTGAATGCACATGGGGCCCCCATAATTTTCTAATTATACATGGAGACTACATTAACTGGAAACGTTTCGGTATAGAAAATGCGTGTCATTTGAAAGAAAAAAAAAAATGAAAAAAAGGGTCACAACTGTGGCGGTCGTAAGTCGGGTCTAGCTATGTGTGTATATATATATATATATATATATATATATATATATATATATATATATATATATATATATATATATATATATATATATATATTGATAAAATCACACGGGAAAAGGGAAACAACGGAGCACCTTAGCTTTCGTCTTTATTCAAGACATCTTCAGAGGCAACTGGATTACATGGACAGAGAGAGGCTTAAATATACAGGGTGACCTTAAAAACATGAGGTCAGGTCATAATGATGTCATCCACTAATCCCCACACCAACACACACGTAGAGGAGCTTAAGAGAAGGGGGGTGACGGACGCGGACGGTTCTGATGATGTCTTGAATAAAGACCAAAGCTAAGATGCTCCGTTGTTTCCCTTTTCCCGTGATTTTATCAAGATTTATCTTATCCACGTTGTGGATCTACATGATATATATATATATATATATATATATATATATATATATATATATATATATATATATATATATATATATATATATATATATATATATATATATATATATATATATATATATATATATATATATATATACATACATACATAC